GGGGGGGGGGGGGGGGGGGGGGGGGGGGGGGGGGGGGGGGGGCGGCAGAGTCCCCAGCTGCAGTGATGCTGGCACACTGACAGCCCTCCTCTTGCCAGGGGTCGTAAACATCGATTAGAATATTTAAAGACGCACGCGCTCATGCACCAAAAGAAAACACATGGACACTTAAAGGCCCTGGCACACATTCAGACACACTACAGACACATACAGTATGTGTGCACACATTTCTAACCATTTCCAACATTATTCTTTTTTATTACATTTGCTCTTGTAATATTTCCCTTTTCATTTTAATAATATTCTACCTAATTTTATTGCCCTATTCCGTGTGGTCTCTGCGTCTGTAAAGCACTTTGTAATGTTACTTTATAGACTTTTTTTTCTTTTACAATTTGTTTTGATTATGTAATGTGCACCACTTTGCACAGACGCCAGTTAATAATTTGTGTGAAAAGTTATGCTGGTGTACATGGAAATGATTGGAAAAAGAATCTATAAATAAAGCTTCTGTCTACTTCGTTTGATTCCACGCTTTGTGCCTTCATTCATTATATTTGTCCATACAAGTTATGTGTTGCTGTATATGTATTTAAATTCCAAAGACACTTACTTCATTTGTATTGAAGTGTGCTTTGTAAATAAAATCATCTTGGCATTCCTTGTTAGCAGTTTGCTCAAATAAAGTCTAATATCAGTATTCCTTTAGGAGCCTGACCGATACAGGGTTGTTGAGGCTGATATTGATGTTTCAGATCCTCCGTCCCCTCCATGACCTCGTTGTCTCAGGAGGTATACAGCAATTACAAATGTGGACGATGTACTCATTGCTCTATCACACACTCAAACGGGTTAGAAATACAAAAGCAAGGAGTTTACAAACTGTGTCCACACATGTAATATATGTGTTTAAGTGTCCATGTGGTTTAATATATGAAGGACAAACCAAACACAACCTTAAATTATGTATAGCTGAGCAAAAAGCTCCTATAAGAAATGGAAACATGCCCCCTCCAGGTTGGGGGAGAGTACCACAGGGTCTTGTTCATGAGTGAGGTTAGAATGGAGCGAGAGATGGACGGTTTCTGCAGTGATGAGGGCGCTGCGCCGGTCCGTCGTGGTGAAGAGGGAGCTGAGCCCGTGGGTGAAGCTTTCGATTTACTGGTCCATCTATGTCCCAACCCTCACCTATGGTCATGAGCTCTGGGAAATGGCTGACAGAATGAGATTGTGGATACAAGCGGCCGAAATGAGTTTCCTCCGTGGGGTGGCTTAGAGATAGGGTAAGGAGCTCAGACATCCGGGGGGAGCTCGGAGTAGAGCCGCTGCTCCTTCGTGTCGAAAGCGGTCTGTTGAGGTGGTTCAAGCATCTGATCAGGATCCTCCTGGGCGCCTCCCGTTGGAGGTGTTTCAGGCACGTCCCACTGGTAGGAGGCTCTGGAGCAGACCCAGAACACGCTGGAGGGTTTATAGATCTCCTCGGGCCTGGGAACATCTCGGGGTCCCCCAGGAGAAGCTGGAAAGAGTTGTTGGAGAGAGGGACGTCTGGGGTGCTTTGCTTGGCCTGCTGCCCCCGCGACCCAGCCTCTGATAAGCAGATGAAAATGGATGGATGGACTATGCCATTGCCAGACACTACAGAGACAGGAACAATAGCTCTGCTGCCTCTCTTTAATGTATTCGTAAAAAGAGGATTCTTTCTAATCCAAGGGGAGGAAACGTCATCCAAAAGTTGCTACAAAGGGAATCATATTAGATTTTCACTTTGAACTCAATGGGACCACATGGCCTCAGTGAGACACTAGATTTTAGCACTTTTTGTGCCTCATGATCATGTAACTCATGATCTGCATGTGTTTGCTGACTTCAGGCGCAACACATTCTCACTCTGACCCCATCACATATTGACATTTTGGTCATGGACTTTCCACGTCCAGATAGAACATGCAAGGTACGTGCGTTGGTTGTTGACGTTCTGGGACACCGTGTCAAGTTCTGCCTGTTACATGCATTGTCTTCTTCCAAGATGCACTTCCATTTTCACACGAAATTTATCGTATGCATAGAGTCTCTTTCAAAATAAATGCCAATTGACATTTTTTCCTTCAACAGCACACGTGGTTGGGTTTAGGAAAAAGAGAACAGGGTTTGGCTTTAGAATCTTACAGGACACGAACACCTCTCTCTCGGGTGAAAGTCGGTGTTTGTTGGACCCATCCCCCACCCCTCCTGCCTGCCCCACTTGGACTTTCACTGCCTTAACTTTCATCCTTGTCCTGCCATGTTTCCCCCTGACACTGCTGGGCACCATTAAACTATAATGGCAACCAGCCGCGTATCATGCCGACGTTAAAGGATGCCATTTTATGTTGGTTTCTGACACGGCAAGTCACTGCCAAAGCGCCGGATTTCAACGACCTCGGGGTGAGACCAAGTTTTTAGGTGATTGCACCCGAGTGAGGTCGCACTATCTGCACTTTCCATCCTCACTACCCTCCCTCCCCTCTTTATGAAGGGATTTTGTGCTTTAGGATTCCAATTTGTAGAGTGATATAATGGAAAATATGATTGAATTAAACTGTTTGTTTGGGTGGGGTGCACGTAATGTGATGTGTCTGGTTATAATGCATGATATTGGGTGTTCCTAACCCCTAACCCTCAGCACATGATCCACCCTGCTGCTGATTGGATTCAGTGCAGCCTTGTTAAAAACACTTGTGCATTGTATGATACAACAAAGCTGATGATGCCATGGGTGATATCCATTGTTTGTTACATTTTAAATGAAGACGAAATTAAAAGAAGAAGCAATTCAGCCCTGCCGTGTGCAGTGCATCTGCTTATTGGTTTTCAATCTGATGTTTCCTACCATCACCTTTTTTTTTCTCAAACAAATATGCCAAAATAAATATAGTATCTGTAATGCTTATTGACATCCTAAAATGGACGTAAATATAAACACAGGTCTGTGCACAACCGCACACACACACAGATACCCAAATGCTTAAAGAGCAAAAATTTCCATGACTCACACACTGCTTTGCTGAAAGAGCAATAGCACAGAATTAATCAATACTTGTTATGAAAATAATATTGTCTGCTGTTTTAAAGTGATATAGAGTGAAGAGAAGGAGCTTATAAAAGTGCTCTGGGCTCAAAACTTTTCGGTGTTTAGACACATGTATTGAAAACCTTTCTTTTTGATTTGCTGCAGCATGTCTAGGCAGCACATGCAATTATAGAGACATGCTTCCTTTCACAGGCTTTAATATAAACCGCAGGAGTCTCTGCTGGTTGCTGATTAACCATTATGGATCTGCCTCTGAAGAGTTGGTACTTGTCAAGACATGGTCTACGGTTGTAGAGAGGGGATCAGTATTGGTGATAAAACAATTAGCTGGTTTTTACCAATGTGTGAGACACTTGTTTTTTTTTTCTCCTCTGCATTGTAGCTACAACAGCGGGAGAGTGGGGAGAGCAGGGCTTTGTGGTGCCCCAGGTTAAGTTTTAACAGTGTCACATGCTCAGCTGCACACCCTGCTCAAAAAGAAAAAGCCATACTTGTACATCTTTCATTCATGATTAAAAAATAATGTTCTTGTCATACATACGTCATCACTTTTTAGGAGGCTACATGCTAATGTGGCAAGCTCCTGTTACAGATGATGTGATTCATGAGTTAAATTGTTTACTGGTATTAAAAAGGGTGGGAGTCAGCTTTAATACGTTTCAGTCAGGAGAGACAGAAGAATAAAGTAAAGATAATATTTAATACAGAATATAAGTGTGAAGATTAACAGATGATTTGTGCTGATCTAGATTTAACAGAAGTCTTTGGTGCTTGGACACCAGAGGGAGATATTTTGTGAAGTGAGGGACATCTGAGTGGCAGCAGGATAAATCCCTCCATGGGGTCCAGACACTGTTGATGGTGGTGGTGGCTGCTGACGCCGAGGCTGCTGACTGCTGAGGCGTATGAGGCTGATGAATCCATAAAGACTAGGTGGTGATGGGGAGGTGGAGCGTGCACATGACTGCGGCAAGGAAGAACTGCAGCAGAGAAAGAACCACGTTTAAAATGAGGAGCA